CCTAAATTAAAACGGTACCTTTTAAAAATTAAAGAAAATTTAGAACATTAGCTCCTAAGTTAGTGTAGTCAATTTCCGATGTTGTCAATAACTTAAGGCTCAAAGAGTCACCATCATCCCGTTTAACCTCACCCAAACCATTAATGCTCGCCTTTATTAGTCCTCTTCCTTTCATGGTTAAGTGTATGGGGTGTTAATCTAGTTTTGTGCTAAGCTTTGGCATGGCTTCTAAATATGTTACGTTGCTTCAACCTCCCTGTTTTTGGGTCTGTCAGGCTTCCTTCAACTATTTTCACATTCTTTCTATCTGTGTTTTAGTTTTGCAATTTTCACTTTACGTGTTAAAAACTACTTCAATCATATTTTATTACATTTCAATATGGGGTTTTATTATTGCCTTACTCGCAAAACATTTTTTAATTCTTTCCTTTTTCTAATTTAGCCACATATCCATTTCATACTTCATTTCTAAAAGGTTAACTAAGCTATCAGTAACTTCTGGTTTGCCAATGATGAGCATTTTATCATTGTCGATATAATTGCTAATTTATAAGCATTATCTTTAAGGATTCTTTTGGCATGACCTTTTTTATTTTGTCAAGGGGAAACACTCAACAAAAAGCTTTTTTGATATCGGTGAAAAAATTGTACAAACTTCTTTCTGATTTCACAAAATTTGCTTTGGACAACTTACTTGTGTAAAATATAATAGTTGTCATTAAGTATGTATCTTCTAAAAAATTCTAACAATAAAAGTGGAAAGCATACCAAATGAACCCCTTCTTTGATATTCTCTCTTAAAATTGTATTCTCCAGTTAATATATATCCCCCTTTCATTTTATAAGCTATCTTCTGTGAGGCATCCATCCTTCAATAGAAAGCAATATGCAATATCTGATATATTTTGGGTCTGTTTGGGATCACTTTTATTTTTTGCTTTTCATTTCATTTTATTTTAATTTGTTTATATTTTAATCTAAATTGAGCTTATTGTTTTTAAAAACACTCAAAACATCTTTTAGGTGTTTAGATTGTTTTTAGAAGAATTTTATTCATCTTTTAAAAGAAAATATATAAATATATAAAAGTTATACTAACAAAACATATTTTAAAAAACAAAAGGACAAATAAAAAAAAAATAAGAAACATGCCAAACGAGCCTTTAGGATATAACCCATGCAATGCACATTCAACATGTGTTGTATAGGCATCTTCATGTCCTATTAAAATAGAAAAATAAAATAAAATATTTTTTTGCTTTGCACCTTTTTGGATATGCCGCCACATGGACATCATCTTTACTCCCTCGTTTATGCCCATAGCCGTACGGCCTCATCTCTTCATGTAAATATAATAAGTTACATAATTTTTTAAATTGATCTATTCATCTAATATTTAGAATGGTGACATCATTGCAGTAAATTTAAACAAAATGAAATTTATGGACATGTGTTTAATTTGAAGATATAAATGAATTGTCATGCTAAAAGCATGTCTGTGTCGTATATTTTTAATTAGAAGCATGTCTCGTGGATGTGATTTGTTTTGTCTCTATTCTTGTGTCCGTATTTGCAGATCATATGCCATTCTTATTAGCAGTTTCTATAATAAATTTTCTTCACGCTATCTTTTACTTCTTCACCGTCCAGTTCCATACATTCATATTATCAATTTCTTAATATACAATAGATTGTAGCCTTTCCTAATGTGTTTCAATTTTTCTTCTTTTCATTGGGTTTATTTGAAACTTTCAATGTTGATTTTTTGCCAGTGATTATATACAGTAATTCTTTGATCTTTCCTTTCAATCCTTAACATTCTTTACATGAGGTCGAATTTATATGACCATACTTCTCGCATTATCATGTTACTTGATGGGGCATCCTTTACGGATGACTTGGCCAACTGTTGCTTTTTTCTTATAAAAATCAAGTCAGATCATAACATGTCATTTTTTTTGCACAAGCTCTTGATTAGGATTCAGTACATGGATTTTAGCCAAGGCTTTTTTATTGGCGTTCAACATGGCCCTTGTCATCTGATTTTGGGCTTGACAATGGCAGTTTGAACCAGATTTGTTTCGAATTTGAGCTGAAGGCTTGTAGTTTTCTGTCTAAAAATTGATGATCCACATTCATCAGAGAGGAGTTGACTTTTAACTCAGAAGAGAAGAGCTCCTGGACCACATGTCATGCAACCCCCGCCGCTAAATAAAACTTAAAGTTAGGATGTGGGTTCTGTGTCTTGCAGTTTAGCAGAAAGTATTAATAGAGAAGTTCAGGAGAAGAAATTGGGTGTGAAAGAAGCCTAAGGTTGGATGGTAAGAAAATATGAGGATAGAATTGCTGACCTTCTTCTTTTGTCATCTCCTCCTAAGTGTTGCACCAAGAAGGGGAAGAATTAAATAAGTGTGGAGGAGAAATAACTTCTTTTTTAAATTTCAAATTGGTCCGATCACGTCACTTTTGCTCAAAATTGTCTCAAAATTTTTCAAAGTGAAACATCCATTTGAAACTCTAGTCAAAAGTACATTGATCAAATTTCAATCTTTTAAATGGGATTTCTTAGCAATGTTCTTGCTTTAGGCATCATTATTGGCTTGTTTGGCTTAGCAGTAAGTTCTAGGTTTCTTGAATTGCGCAGTGCTTCCAGTTTTACAATGTATAATTCAGTTTTTAATAGTTGTTGATGGGCGTTGCTACCGTGGTCATGAGCATAAATGAGTGTCCATTTCAAGAGCAAAAGAAGTAGATACAAATAAACATTAATGAAGTATTTTTGGTATGCAACAATTTTATACTGATTTTTATTACAAAAGTCTCATTTCTTGACTTTGTTTGGTTGCTTTTTCTTAAGTTATGTTTGCCATCACCTTGCTTATGTTAATTTATTTGCAAAAGAAGAAATTGCACCACTATTCTTACTAAGGATCTGTTTGGGGCAGTTGTTGTTTATTTATAATCTGCTGATAAGCAGATTATTCTGATAATCTGATAATCTGCAAATTATCAGAATAATATGTCTTGCTGTTTGGGGCAGCTTATCCAGAACAGCTTATTGGTAGTTATGGATGTAAAAATGACATTTTTGCCCCTGTCTGTAAGAACTGTTATGTCTGTTAAAACTGTTTGAGGCAGCTTATTCAGAACAACTTATTGGTGCAGAAACATACCATGACATACAATTCTCACACTCTCGTTAATACCACAAAAAATAAAAGCAGGATACAAGCTTAATTAATCCAACTACAAAAAAACAGATGAAGAAGACAATATAGAACTCCAAATGTAAGGACCCCCTTCTTTAGACATGTTGAAACTATAAGGAACAAAAGTTTAATGCTCAAAGAATCTCCACAGTGTTTAAATTAAAAAAACAAGTACACAAAAGATTTACGTGGTTCGGTCAAAGTCCTACGTCCACGGAATGAAAGGCACGAATGTTTTTATTATGAACTTCTTGAGGATACAATGATACATAGCTGCCAATCATATCAAAATACACAAATAAGCTTATTACAACATCCACTCAACCATTCTTAAGTACACGGAGAAGCTCTCAAACATCCTCTCAAATGTGAACTTCGGTCAATCTTTAAAAAAAAAATTTGGAAACCAAAAAATATATGGAACACAAACCCTCCCCAATGTCATATCCATTGCCATTCTAAACAAAAACCGAAACAGGAATCATGCCACCAACCTTCAAAATATTTTCCAAATTTCAAAATATTTTCCAAATTTCAGAACAGCTCAAACCGAAACAGGAATCATGGAACACAAACCCTCTACAATGAAAGTTCTGTATGCAAAATATATTTGTCATTTTTCCATCAATAGTGGTATTTTAAAAATGAAAATGTACAACTGGCAATACGGTATACTGTATACCAAATTTCAGAACACCTCAAGGTTGCATACGGTATACCAAATTTCAGCCAAAAAAAAATTTCAGCCAAAAAAAATTTCAGCAACCAACAGAGGTCAGGAGATAAGAGGCAACTTCGAAGGCACAGAAAAATTCCAAGGCACAGAAAATTTTTTAGGTTGAAAACCATTAAGGAGAAGCATAGATCAGGAGATAAGAGGCAACTTCGAAGCCCTACAAAAATCCATAAATACGATCCCAGGCAAAGATCTTATACCCTAAACGATACTTGAAGTATTTCAATGGGATCGAACACCAGAGGCGAGGCAGGGGGCCAGGAACGGCGAGAGAGCGAGACGACAGAGGGGAGACGCAGATCTAGGGCAAGGCAAGACTGGATCGAAAGGGGGCGTGAGACGGGATAGAAGGGGCAGCTGGGTAATAAGTTACTCTGAAACGCTGAAACGCAGGGTGCTATCAATGGCGAATGATCCATCGGGCAATAGGCAAATGCTTTACGCGATTATTGGCACGCAGTGACGAACGTGTTTTCCAAACACGACCACGTCGTTTTCGGAACACCGAATACAATTTTAATCTCCCCCAAACGGGACCTAAGGCTTCCCGAGAATTGTTGTAAGTGG